AGTTTACCCATCTTACTGAAGGCATGTCTGCCTAGATGGTTAAGAATAGCCGCTTGATTGAGAGACGTGGCACCGTTGGTCACCCCGATCTGGTGAAGCGCCTGTAGCAGCCTGTTGCCAAACTCAACGACGGGAACTCCTGCTGTTACAGGAAGGATGCCAACAGTACGAAGATTGAGAGTCGATTTTGCTGTCTTCACTGTGCCAGAAGCACCAGGTTCACTTCCTTTCTCGGCAACCGGAGTCTCAACAAGATCCCGCATCCGCTGTGCAATGAGTTTGGAGACCTGAATGGTGATTCCTGGATGTTCCTGGGCGAGACTGTTGAAGAGAGTCCGGGGAAATTTGGCGAGTTCAGTATCGCGGATGGCATGGAGAGTCGCCGGGCGAGTCGATTCAGTCATCACCTCCAGTTCACCCACACTTTCTCCCTGGCCGTATTCACCGACGACAGTCATCTTGCCATTAGGGCCTTCATGTACAGACCGCAAACGCCCATTCAAAGCAAGGTAGATTGCATCGCTCTCGTCGCCCTGGTGATAGATCACCTGGCCAGCACTCACTTGCACCCATTCCAGGGCGAAGTCAATATGGAGAAGTAGTCGCGGGAGCAGACTGGTCAGCCGCTTTGCCAAAGTCAACAGGGCCAAAGGGTACCGCTCCGCTATCCTTTCCAAAGACGCCCGTGGAAGGAATCCTACGTACACGTCTGTCTTCGCAACGACATCGGTATACGAGCGGTAAGATGCGACAGCGCCCACATAGCCTTGGATCCCACCAGGCTTAATCAGGTAGAGCGACTTCCGCGACTGCTTCTTCCGCCTGGGATCGTTTGCTGCGGCTGCCGATCCCGACACACGAGAGGAACTCGTGTTGGTGCGTCTGAGCGTAGGGAACAGTTCCTCATGTGCCGGTCTGGAGGATCCCACAAGGTCTTCTTCCTTGTCGTCCACGGGAATACCAACATCCAAGAAACCATCAACAACGTAGTACAAGCCCGGATGGCGCTCGCCTTGCTCAACAAGAACCGAACCCTGAGGGAAGTAGACAATTTCAATGTCATTTCGGAGCTCTTCCCTCAAGTTGACAATAGGCGAGGTGCCACCGGCACTGGTAACCGACATGGACATCATGGATTCGCTCTCACCATCCGCTGAACCTTCGTAGGGATCAATGAACCCAAACGCGTTGTTGCTAAAGACGGCTTTTTGGCGGCGAGAATCATACGAGAGGAGCTTCGGGGAAACGTCGCCTGAAGGGTGACTGCTTTTACGCAAGAAGTCATTGGTGCTTCCGGTCAAGCCGATACCTTTCATAATGCACTCCAGGATCGATTCACGGAAGAGCGCATCTTCGTCCAAGGACTCTTTCCGGTGAAAAGGAGATGCGCGTCCCGGGATCATCGGAGATGGGGACCGTAAGGGGGAGTGTTCTTTCTCCGTAAGCGGACTCAGTAACCGGGGGGCAAGGTGCTCGTATCTCGGACCGAAGCGCGAAAGCTGAATGGTCGATAGAAGATCTCCAGGACTCACACCTGAGTTTTCACGATCACTCAGTGCACTATCCTGAGCAACCATGGAGACTGGCCGTTTAGACGCGGCCATCTTTGCCTGAAGAGCGGCTTCCTTCCTTCGAAAGCTACTCGACCGGGGTCTTCGCCCTCCATACGGGTTATGCAACGCAATCCCTTTGGTAACTTCCTCTTGACCTAGGCGATCTCGCTCTTTGATGAACTTGTCCTTAAGACGGTCCAGAGCAGACCCACGCAGCTCATTTGGCAAATCGTAAGTTGTGAATTTCGTCATCTGCTTCTCTATTCCCAGCACCTCGTTATTTAGACCCAGATAGGAGTGCGCTGTAGCAAAGGTGACTCTCTGTAGGCGCGTAAGGATAACCTGGACGATATGGGCAGTCGCTTTTGGGTATACTCGGGTCAAGCGTCGGAATGCGCTTGCGGGGATGATCGCAATTGTCGTATCTACCATCGCTCGTGCAACAATATCTGGATGCACTGACTTCCTACGCGTTTTGCCCGAGTACTTTCTGCTTCCAGAGCGAGCAGAGTGGGCAGGTGGAACTTGGCTTTCGCCCAGATTTAATGGTGGCACAGCCGGTAGGTCTTCGGCCGTGCTGTTCCTGTGAGAGGCCGGGTCAAGACGATCTCCTTGATAAACATGGGGAGAGTCGTCCATTTCCCGAGGGCTCGCCGGAAACGAGTCGGGGCCAATGGCAAGACCAGGACCTATACTAGAAGCGCTGGAAGCTGAGCTATCCGCATATCGTAATTGGACATCCTCGGTAAACAGCGACAGAATGGAAAACAGCGAGGACATCGAAGCGCCATTCTTTACTTCGGTCAGCAGTTGGTATCCCTGCCTTCCGTCCGGTCGATGATCGTCTTCGTCGGAAGATTCACCTGCCATGCGGTTCAGCTCTTCGTCTGTACCTGACTTCCTGTCCCGCATGGACTTGACGAAGATTTGGACCAAGCCGTCAACAACCAAACAGAACCCTTTCTCTTCCTCCAGCAGGAGCGTTTCGCCGGCGATCAATTTCCTTGTCTGCATGGTGCGGGTCAACTCGTGGAACACAGGCCGCTCGAGGTAGCCGAAGACTTTAATGGCGCTCAAAAACTCATCCAGATAGTTTGCCAAGCCCGGTTTCGTGTCGCTGTCCGGTACGTCGGGGAAGAGATCGAGCTGGGGTTCCTTGCGCTGGGGTTCTGGAGGCAGACGACTGTACATGTTCAGGAAACGATAGCGGATAAACCAACTGATGGTCGAGACCACGGCCAGCGCGATCAAGAGTCTATCGATCGAAACCGTCATTGTCAGCATATGTTGACACTAGAGAATTCAACTGCGATTGCCAATGGCAATATAATACAGCAGGGGATCCAGAGTGCGTCACTCACAAGGTCGTGAAGTTCATGGTGAAGGTCAGGCTCATAGAAAAGAGCGTAAACAGCCATGTGGGCAACGTGATGGTGGTAAAGGTAACAATCCAGTATAAGACACTTGGAATGACCTGGAAAATGAAGGAAAAGATCCAGCCGATCCACCCCACCATGGTTGAAGGTGCTGGAGGGGTTATTGGCGGGGGAGGGAGGTGCGAAGAGAAGCCGGACACGACGGAGAAGCTGGCGGTTAAGGCGGGGATTGAGGTTGCGAGGGATCGTGCGGCGGTCGACGAGGATGCAGGCAACACATGGAGAGGGTCCAGGCTTGAAGATTCAAGCGAGGGTAGTGCAGCGATAATTCCGTCACCGGTGGCCATGATTCCCTGAGCTTCCATGAGAGCTCGATGGAGACCAGACGCTAAGACACGCCTACTAGTTGGATTCCAAGAAATCAAGGCACCACCGCACCCCAACTTGGAAACAACTCTCGTCCTTGTTCTTCTCGCTCTCTCTTTTTTTTGCTCTCGTTTCAATCACATCCACGCCCACACTCAGGCGTCACGGCTGGATGCAACGAGATGGTGGGCAGACAGTAGGCAGGCTCGTAGCCAGCATCATCCACGCAGGGGAGAACGTGCACCCAGGGATGCTTGTGGCTGGTTGTCGAGACGCAGCAGCTCGAAAAGGCGGGCTTTCTTTGGGTGCGGAGACCCGGGCAGAAAACAGCCCGGGCGGTAACTACTGGATACTACTAGAGTGACGTACTTGCTTTTTGGCCCGCTTTTCCTGCAGGGTTTGGAAAGTTTAGATATAGATAAAATTATTATCGTTTTATTCTATTTTTCTGAGGATGTATGCCATTAAGTAACCCTCATTCACAATGATCGGCAAGCTTATACATAGTGGCAATGTTCGAACTTCTATTATTTGTTCAACGGGGAATTATTGAACGTTCCTACAGATGTCAAATGCAGTCTTCTGCAGAGACTCAATCCCCAGTAAGATCGAAAAGAAAAAAAAAAAAAAAAAAAAAAAAAAAAAAAAAAAAAAAAAAAAACAAAAAAAAAAAAAAAAAAAAAAAAAAAAAAAAAAAAAAAAAAAAAAAAAAAAAAAAAACTGAAGTATGAATGCTTGAACCTTTATCGACTTAAGTCTCAGATTGCGCCAATATGGTAGAACTTCATCTGAAGAGATATATGAATTCCCTGGTAGCACGGTGCTGGCTAGTAGTACTACCGCAAGAAACATATATTTGAAGCGAGAGCACAGCACTACCCGAATTGTAATTAATAGGTAGTGAGTAGTTACCACGGAGAAAGTAATTGGATTATCGCCATCGTCATATTGACCATCATGAGCAATTCTACTAATTGTCAGGCTACCCTAGTAGTTCTCCTTTTAATCCCTTTATCTCAATATCAAGGCGTGCTGTCATCGAGGCTGTCTCTGCGCTAGAGGTATTGCTATCGTCGAAGAGACCCGCTTCTTTATCTATATATAGTAGCTTCTTCACCATGAGGGGGTACAGTTATCACAACTCCTATGGTATGCGGTGTAGTCTTTATGTTGGGTACATACAATTACAAAATCGCCAATTAAGTGAAGGTTGAATGAACAAACCATCTCCTTGGGGGGAACGGATATATGGAATGAACAGAAACAATTCAACATGAAATTAGTGTAGATAGATAAGTGGCTGCTCAGTGCTCACCGCCCCCAGGAACGAGTCCACTTAAGTTATGCACCCGCTTTCTGCCCCGTGCTGGCCGCCCAACTGCCAACCGAAGAAGCCCCCGTGCGGATGAGTTGTTGTAGTCGCCGCCGCCGGATTTCATGCTCCCCTTCTTTCCTGCCTATCGCTTGCTTCTCCTTGTCCTCACCCTTTGCCGACTTCTCTTTTTCTGTCTTTCGTTCATCAGTCTTGCTGTGGCCTTGGCTCACAGGCCCGCCACGGTCATGTTTCAGGTAGGTGGCCTAGCCCGCTAGTTGTTCTCAAACCTCCCTCTCAACCTGTCCATTACTATTTACCCGTTTCGCATTCCTCGTGCTATCTTGTGCTCGTGCCAGTGCTGTGGCTGATCCCGCCTTGTTCCCAATTTAGCGCCTGCGCGACGCAATCGATTCGCGGATTGCAGAAGAACAAGCTCGTCAACGGTCTGCTCAAACTTCACTTTCGCGCTCCAACTCCGCTCGTCATCCCACGGGTCGCAACTTATCTCCGACAAGGCGAGCCTCTCGTCCTCGGCGAAACACCGGTACCCCTGTCCGTGGCCCTGATCCCAACGAGTTCGAACCGGAGTTCGCCATCGGAGATGATGAAGGTTCCAGCAGATCAGCCACTCCGCGTCTGGAGTCGGCGGGTGGCTCCGAAGGTGCCCCGGAGGAAAACGCCGGGGAGGGGAAGACGTCTTCTGAGGAGTCCGCAACCAAGAAGCCCGAGGCTCAGCCTGTAACTGAGACGAACCAGTCACCGTCTGAGCTCCCACCAGAGATTCGGGTAAAACTGCGAAGGTTGGGCAAGCTTGAGTCCCGTTATCAAGGTAATGAGCGCTCTGCAACGACAGCCCGGCAATATTGTTAACTTGTTGCCGTACTTCAGATCTCCTTAAAGCGTACCGCATGGCCCACTCGCGTGTCCTGTCGATCGAACCATTCGAAGCTGCCCTGCGAGAGAACACCCCCCTGACGTCGATCAGCGAACCAAAAGCGTTGACGGAGTACTTGAATCAGATTTCGTTGAAAGGTGACCTGGTGACCGAGGAATTGAAACGTGTAACAGCAGAGCGGGACGACTACAAGAAGAAATTGGAAGAGTCTCAGAAATCCACCAAAGCCGCTTGGGATGAAGTTACAAAACTTAAGGAGGATAGCAAATCCCAAGCTAAGAAAGACGAAGGGCCAGCTGCCGAGAGCTCCGCTACCGACGAATCTACACCCGATAGCGCTACGAAGTCCGGGAAGTCGACCACTTCTGGCGCCAAGGATACTGCGGAGACGTCTCCGAAGGAGTCTGGGACACAGGGTGATAGTGAGGAGTTCTTCTCATATGACAGCGAAATTCCGCGACTGGAGACAGAACTGAAGGAGAAACAGGAGGAGATTGAGACTCTGAAGTCCCAGACAGAGTCGCTCAAGCGCGATTTGTCAGTAGCCCGCGAGTCCACGGAAGGCATGGTCCATAACCTGGAGTCCGCTACCCGGGAGCTTGTTGAGTTGCGGGACACTAAGGACAAACAGGATGCGGAGTTGGAGAAGCTCAAAACCTCTAATCAAGAGGAAGTCGAGGAGCTCAAAGCCAAGCTCGAAAAATCAGAAGAGGCTGTGGCGAAGACAAGCTCCGAAATCGAAAACTTGAAATCCGAGCTCAAGCAAAAGGCCGATGAGATCGAGCAACTCCAGGCTCAGACTGCTCAAGCCAAGAGCGCTGATCAGCAAGCAGAGATTGAGTCAAAATTGGAAGACTTGAATCGCGAGAAGGAGGCCAATGACCGGCGTCTTGGGGTCCTACAAGGTCTGGTTGACAGTTTGCGGTCCCAGCTCAAGGAGACGGAAGAAACATTTACCAGTCTCAAGACTGAAATGGGACAGAAGACAGAAGATATGGGCAAACTACAGAACGTTGTCAATTTCCTGGATGCTAATCTCAAAGATAACGAGAAATGGAAACAGACCAAAGACCAAATTGCGAATGGAAAGGAAGCAGCATTTGATGAACTTCGCGAGAGTCTGGCTCCTTCACCCCAAACTGCAGCAGTGAAAGAGGACTCCGCCGGGCCTACCGCACCAGCAGCGAACCCCGCAGGCGGTGCTGGGGGAGGCAAGAAGAAGAACAAAAAGAAGAAGAAGGGAGGCAAGGCGAACGAGGAGGCCAACAATGTAGTTGAAGCTGCTCCTGCTGAGGAGAAGCAGGAATCGGCAGAGCAAGATGATCAAGCAGCCTTGAAGCTCACCGAGCTGGAGCAGAACATTGAATCGCTCAAAACGCAGCTGGCTGAGAAGGATGCTACCATTGACCGTCTCTGCTCCAGGATCAAGGGAGAGGAGGACTTGAAAGAGGAAATCGAAACTCTGCGCGATGACTTACTCAATATCGGCCAAGACCATGTTGAAGCCAAGGATAAGGTGAAGGAGCTAACCGCCGAGAAGAACGCGCTGGAGGAAACGATATCCAAGCTGGAGAAGGAACTGACAGATTTGCGGACGAGTAGTGAGTCTAGTAAGGTTGATACCGAGAAGGCACACAATGACCTGAAGGACGAATATGAGAGCCTCAAGATCAAGTCTACTACACTGGAGACTGAGCTTTCTGCTGCCCAGCAGCTGGCTGCCACGCGGTTCAAGGATATGACAGAACTGCGGGAGACCCTGCAGAAACTGCAACCGGAAGTGAAGAAGCTACGGGCCGAGTCCGCGGAGCTGAAGTCGACAAAGGAATCCTTGAACAGCAAGACAGCCGACTTGCGAAACCTGGAGGGGCAGCATGATGAGTTGCGCGCAGAGCTCAAGTCGCTGAAGTCTACCATATCAGAAAGAGACGCAGAAGTCAAGTCTCTCAACCAAAAGATCAGACAAGAGACGGACAGCCGTCTGAAGAGCGAGGAGAAATTGACGGTCGCCCAATCTGATTTGCGATACTCAGAGAGCAAAAAGCAGGAAGCCGTGGAGGCAAAGGAGAAGCTGGCATCGGACCTGTCCAAGGCTCAAGATGAGCTCAAGGCAGCTCGGGCCCGGCTCCGTGAAGCTGAGAGCCAAGCTGCTCAGTTGAACAAGGATCTTGGCGGCCTGCGAGAGGAGATCCAGCTGAAGACTGCACAGCATGCCAGCGCACAAAGCTTGATGAATAGCATGCGCGACCAGGCTGGGGAGTTGGGCATGCAGATGAAGGAAGCCCGGGAGCGTTGTGAAAGCCTGGAAGAAGAATTAGCGGATGCTCATCGCCTGCTGAGCGAACGTACTCGGGAGGGCGAGACCATGCGACGTCTTCTCAATGATATTGATGGTCGCGCAGAGGCTAAAGTACGGGATTTCAAGGAGCGCATGGAGGCTGCCATCGAAGAACGCGACAGGGCTGAGGATGAAGCAAGTGCTCAGAGCCGCCGCCGGGCGCGTGAGTTGGAAGACTTGAAGGGCAAGCTGCGCGAAGCGGAGCGAGCCTTGCGTACTGTGGAGGAGGATAAGGAGGAGCTAGAGCATACGCAGAAGGACTGGAAACGCAGACGGGATCAACTCGAGGCCGAGTCGGAGAAGACCACCCAAGAGCTCAGTGATCTGCGACAGGCTATGGCACGGTTGCGGGATGCCTTGGACGAAAGTGAGAAACAAGTCCGTGATCTGGAGAAGGAGAAGGCCGAGTTGCGCCGGTCCGTGGAGGAGACCAACGCGCGCCTAGAAAAGGTCCGTAAGTCCAACAAGATGCTACCGGACGAGAGTCGCTTCGGTCCCAATCCGCAGTCATCCAGATCATCCATCGATTCCGGATCACGCAAAGCGCTGGCCTCTCCAGTCTCCAAAGACCGCAGTCCGTCAACCCGGAGAAGCGAGACGCCCACCGGGCCGAATACATCATCCATCGATTACATCTACCTGAAGAACGTTCTCCTCCAGTTTCTGGAGCAAAAGGACAAGAACTACCAGAAGCAGCTGGTGCCTGTCCTGGGGATGCTGTTACATTTCGACCGGTGAGTATCCAAGTGTTCATTCTTCCCTTCTGAAGACTTGTATATGCTGACTTGAACAGGACCGATGAGCAAAAGTGGATGGCGGCCATCACCTCACGCTAGACTTCCAGGCCTTCGCCGGAAACCATGGTTCTTGGAGGCAAGGACATAGTTGTAATTATACCTGGTACATAGCATTCTTGATTCACATCTTATTATACCTTGTCGATACTCATCTTGTCTTTTCAAAGTAGTCCTAGTTGACATTGTCATTCTCGTGTTTCTGCGACCTTCCAGAGGACTCGATGTCAACCGAAGGGCGCAGGGCAATCAAAGTCCCTTTCGAGTAGGAGACATTTGCGGTCCCGACCGCACGGTGGGGAACGACAGGCGGGTCCTCCGGGGTCTTCATATATATTCGTCCCCGGCTTCTTGCTTTCGTCTTTTTCCAACAATTTGCTTCTCTCTGTAGCTATTGCACATACCGGAACAATGTCTGACCAGCCTACTATTCGCCTTGCGACTCCTGAGGGCAAGTGTTTCCCTCTGATGTCGTCCAAGCATGACCTCCGTTGGCCCATTGGCAATGCCTCCGATCTTGACTAACCATGTCTTGGCTACCATTGCAGATGTCCCCATCATCCACCAGTTCATCTGCGAGCTGGCAGATTATGAAAAAGCCCTGCACGAAGTAGAGGCCACCCACGAGTCCCTCCTTGAAACCTTGTCCTTCCCCGACAGCCCGCCCAAGCGTGGCTCTGTGTACACCGCGCTTATTACCCCTCCTGCGACGGCGGAGAACCCCACACCCAAGCCTGTCGGCATGGCGCTCTTCTTCTACAACTACTCTACGTGGCGCGCAGCTCCGGGTATTTACCTTGAGGATCTGTATGTTCAGCCTAGTGCTCGGGGTAATGGTTACGGCTTCAAGTTGCTCAAGTACCTTGCCGCCAAGGTACTGGAGATCAAGGGAAGACGTCTTGAGTGGAGTGTGCTGAAGTGGAATGAGCCCAGCATCAAGTTCTATGAGCAGGTTGGGGCTAAAGCCATGGATGAGTGGACCAAGATGATGATGGAGGGTCCGGCGTTGAACAAGTTGGCGGAGGGATTGTGAACGATTTAGGAGCCTGATCACAAGATGCGGGAGGAAGTGGATGGATTATTTATGCATGTCCATCCCGATCGCAATAAACTGTACAGATTACGATTCTAGAATAATACTGTGGCTGTGGCTTTCAAGCATCACATGAAATGATTAACCTCTTGGGCTACTTTATATGGAGCCACTGGCAGATCAGCAACAGGGATATGTCTCACCGCCCGGAAATACTCAGGAGCAGAAGGCGGTGAAGGAAAAACAACATATCCAGTTTGGATAAGGACTCCGGTGCATTAAGCTAGCATCATCACCCCTCAAAGGAACTTGATGAACGATCAAGGCACACTGGAGCAGAGAGAAGTGCTGATGAATGAAAGCATGGTGACGATGGGGGCGACGATCGGCACCAGCCACGATGAGGGCTAACCCTAAGCGCCAGATCGGATCGGTGGTGACGTCGTCATCGCGGCGTAGATCCCCTGGGAAAAAACGGTAGCTCCTCCTAATCACTAGATTACTATTAATTACTGCGAGTAGATCCCGCTCCCCTGGCATACTCTCGATGCTTTGTCGACAGTGCTCCCTGTTCGTACTCATGATTCCCTGATTGCACTCGACATCCCTCTTTCTTAACCATTCAATGGCTTCCACTCTCCCTCGGGACCCTGTGCATAGCAACCACTATGTGGACTACGTGATTCGCTACAACTTTGGTGGTGAGACTGGTAAGATGGCGGTGTGCCCCAGGCCCAGCAAGTCCCGGTGTCGCTCCGACCTAACCACCACTATCTCTACTTAGATGCCGCCCATGCGACCGAGCAACTTGATCGACTGCTGCGGAAACTCTTCGAGGTTGGACTGCAGACCGAAGTCAGGCAAGGGGACGAATCGTCGCTGTTGATATTCGTCCGAGCGTCACGGAAGAAGAGCCTGAAGCGTGCAATCTATCAATCACGGTGAGCGCTTACTCTTTGCACGGTCGGGTTTGGTCGTCTCTTACTGATCCGTCTATTTTATTTCACTAGCATCCGCGATTGGCTCTATGGCGTCCGCAACACCGAACCCGAATCGGAATCCTCAGCGGAGGCCCAGTCGGAATCGGAGCGTTTGCGCGTTATCTACCATATGATCACTGTCCCTAAAGAAGCAGGTGGCGCTGGTATCACTCCGAAACACGGCGAATGGAAATGTGTCGATGCGATCTTCCCGCTGCATGATGAGGCCATGAATAAACAGTGCATGAAGGATTGGAGCCAGAAGACGTTTTTGTCGGCTGATGATTTGGATCAGATACGCAATACGTTCGGAGAGAATGTAAGGACAAGACCGGCCTTGCATGCGTACTTGATCTGCAGCTAATGGGTGTTCTACGTACAGGTCGGCTTTTACTTCGCATTCCTACAGTCATACTTTAGGTTCCTTATGTTCCCTGCCGTATTCGGTTTCTCTTGCTGGCTGCTCCTCGGATCCTTCTCCATCATATATGCGGTTGTGAATAGCTTGTGGTGTATCATTTTCATCGAGTACTGGAAGCGCCAGGAGGAGGATCTAAGCTGTCGTTGGCAAACAAAGGGGGTCTCGGTTGTGCGACCCAAGAGACGCGAGTTCAAGCCCGAAAGGGAAGTTCAGGATGAAAGCACTGGTGAGGTCAGGGGGGTTTTCCCGGCGACCAGGCGGATGTATAGACAACTGCTGATTGTCCCGTTCGCCTTGCTTTCCGCGGTTGCATTGGGTGTCATCATCGCCACGTGCTTTGCCATTGAGATCTTCATCTCGGAGGTATACAATGGTCCACTGAAGACCTACTTGGTGAGTCTGAATCACGGGGATTTTGGACCGTCCGCTAACAGATCAGGTCTTCATTCCCACCATTCTTCTCTCGGCTCTCATCCCAACGATGAGCTCGGTCCTGGTGTCGATCGCTACGAAGCTCAATGACTACGAGAACTACGAGACGCAGCCTGCATACGATGTGGCTCTGACGCAGAAGGTGTTCATTATCAACTTTATCACCTCGTATCTGCCAATCATTCTCACAGCCTTTGTCTACGTACCTTTCGCGAGCCGGATCGTGCCGTACCTTGATGTCTTCCATCTGACTGTTCGGCCCTTCGTGTCGAAGGAAGACGCAAGCTCACGGAGGACAGAATTTAGCATTGACCCGGACCGTCTGCGCAAGCAGGTGATCTACTTCACCGTCACAGCCCAAGCTGTCAACTTTGCCATGGAGACAATTGTGCCTATGCTGAAGCAGCGCCTTTCCCGCGAATACAAGCAATACAACCGCAGAAAGCAAGGAAAGATCGAGACCGAGGATGGCGCCGAGGCCAAGAAAGAGGCATTGTTCGACGACCACCCCGACGAGACCAAGTTCCTGACCCGGGTACGCAACGAAGCCGACTTGGAGGACTACGACGTGACTGAAGACCTGCGAGAGATGTGCATCCAGTTCGGATATCTGGCCTTGTTCTCTCCTGTCTGGCCCCTCGTCCCCGTCTCCTTCCTGGTCAACAACTGGGTGGAGCTTCGGTCCGATTTCTTCAAGATCTGCATGGAGTGCAAGAGACCCTGGCCGCAGCGCGCCGATACCATTGGGCCCTGGCTGGAAAGCCTCGGCTTCCTGTCGTGGGTCGGCAGCATCACCAGCTCCGCCCTTCTCTACATGTTCAGCAACGGCCATGAAGGCCCGAACGGCGAGCCTACCGGTATCCGCGGATGGGCTCTGCTGCTGACGATCTTCTTCTCCGAGCACATCTACCTCATGGTTCGGTATGCCATCCGCGCCGCCATGGCCAAACTGGAGCCCCCGAACGCCAAGAAGGAGCGTACGGAGCGGTACCTTATGCGCAAGCGGTACTTGGAGTCGACGATCGCGGCGCGCAGCAGTGATGACGAAGGGGATGAGCAGGGGCCGGATCAATCCATGGAAGTGCCCGATATTACGCGGAAGTCATTGGAAGAGGATGCTCGTGAGTGGTCGACTCACGACATTGACCCGGCGGAACGGTTCTGGATGCGACAGAAGGGTTGGAAAGAGTCGGCGCATGTTGGGGCCACTATTATCAAGACGCTGGCGACTGAGCCCACGGTGAAGAAGGAGCAATGAAGGGAGATGGAATGACCAGAGAGGAGAGGAGATTATGTCATAATGGATTGGGGTCACGAACGTAGTATATACATGGGTCATGAGTGGGAGCTGGAACTTCTCTATTGTCTATATGTGTCATGAAGTTTGATCGATGTACTTAATCATTATTCTAGTGCTGGCTAGTATGTTGTGGTTCGATGTGTACTCACTAGTAACAGACTGTCTAAATGTCAGTTCCAAGTACATACTTGAATACATACATCAATTACTACAGTGTAGCGAATTGATTGTAACACCGAAAATACTACTGTTGGATAATAAACCTAGTGGATGAGGGTCCAACAAAGTCAACTACAACTACCAGGCAATACGAAGCATGCAAGACAGAACCCCCAATTCCGACCGCCCTCCCCACCGCCCAAAGCGGCAGAAGCTAGTCGACCTCGATGAAAAAACCTCGGATTTTGTCGGATTTTAGACTATACAGATCCCAAACACTCAACCTGGATTCTGTATAGAACTTGACCGCCTTTTGGAGGTATGGGCAGAAAATGGTCGCTGGGACTCGAGCCTGGACTTGGCCATGGCTCACCCAATGACATTACGTCCTACGGTCCAGCCAATTCTCGGCTGAGTCAGAAGACCTTCCTTCCCCACTGGCTCACTGCACTGCAGGCATCGGCATTCTTACCCCGATGGATCCGACATTCCAAGTGACACCGCCCGGATGCCGGCGGAGGGATGTAGTAAGTGGTTGAAGATCATTTTACGTCCCGGGTGTTGTACGTATGTGTAGCTCCGGTTGGGGGAGGATCTGTTGAGGGTTTTTGCTTGATTCGAAGACGAGTTGATTTTACTCATGATAGGAGATTGTATCTATCTAGGTCTCGTCGGAGAGTGGGTTTACTACTGTGCAGTGGGAGATTCCGTCAACTG